CATGCCCTTGGCCGGAATCGAACCTGGGACCCCTGAGTCCACAGGCCGACGCTCTATCCACTGAGCCAAACCGGCCAGGGCAAAGCAAACACTTTAAGAGTGAAAAATCTCTGTTTTTTGCAAGACCTTTCAAACCCCAATGAGTAAGAGTTTACTGTGAACTTCAAGAAATTCTCTTCTCCTCAGGGGAACTTCTTTTATTTTATAGAAAATAAGCCCTTATGCCCTGTCCAGTGTGGCTCAGTTGGTTGGAACATCATCTCATACACAAAAAAGGAGGTGGGGGTTCGATTCCAGGCCAGAGCACATACCCAGGTTGCAGGTTTAATCCCAGGTCAGGACACATGGGGGAGGCAGCCCATCAATGTTTCTCTCTCACAATTATCTTTCTTTTCTCTCTCTCTCCCTTCCTCTCTCTAAAAATCATTTATTTTTATGAAAAGGTCAAAGAAAAAATAAAAGCCCTCATGGTTAATAGAGAACTCCAAACTCTGCTTTAAAAAAAGTCTTCGCCAAAACCGGTTTGGCTCAGTGGATAGAGCGTCGGCCTGCGGACTGAAGGGTCCCAGGTTCGATTCCGGTCAAGGGCATGTACCTGGGTTGCGGGCATATCCCCAGTAGGAGATGTGCAGGAGGCAGCTGATCGATGTTTCTCTCTCATCGATGTTTCTAACTCTCTATCTCTCTCCCTTCCTCTCTGTAAAAAATCAATAAAATATATTTAAAAAAAAAATAAAATAAAATAAAAATAAAAATAAAAAAAGTCTTCATTTAAAAAAAGAAAATGTCTTCATTAAGAATAGAACTTAAGCCCTAGCCGGTTTGACTCAGTGGATAGAGTGTTGGCCTGCGGACTGAACGGTCGTCCCAGGTTCGATTCCGGTCAAGGGAACATGCCCAGGTTGCAGGCTTGATCCCCAATGTGGGGGTATGCAGGAGGCAGCTGATCAATGATTCTCTCTTATCATTGATGTTTCTCTCTCTCTCTCCCTCTCTCTTCCTCTCTGAAATCAATGAAAATATTTTTTTTAAAAAAAACAGAACTTCTTCAGGGCAGGGGACCCATCATTCTCTTTGGAGACCACAGAATGCTTTCCCTTCTTCAGAAACCATGTGAAGGACCATTACCTCTAGCACACCTATAGTGAGGCACAAAAAGGCTTTCTGGTCCACTCCAATAGAGTTGGCAACTCTCCCTAATTATTTAAGAATGGAGAAAAGTAATTAACTCGAGAACCCTAGAGCGGCAGCAAAATAGAATGAGGTATCCTGCTAGCATGTTTAAAGACTTATGAAAAGTCACCTTCTATGAACCCCAGTTGATGGCTTGGGACAATAGAGAATAGCTTAGATTTTTCTGAATGTACATGTGTATTCATACAAATGACTAACAAGTTGGAGTGAAAGCCTCAATGACCAGCCATTTTATAGAAGGATCCAGAAAACAAGCAACCTCTTCCTTCCCACATGGTGGGTCCTCTATGTTTTTCCCCCACATGTAGAAATCCATATTCTGAGATAAATGAGGTACTATTAGAAACACCTTACAGCAAAACTTACATTTTAATGTGGAAAGGAATGGACTCTCTAACTCTGATCCGATAAAGCAGTTCTTCTCAATAGCACTCATTATGATGAACTGTCCATCAACTCAGGTCAGATTTCAGTAGAGAGCATTTTGGGGAAACAGTCCACACAAGTCTAAATCTCAATGCCCAACAAATTCTGAGATGAAAGAAGGCTGAGAACTATAGAAGTGCCCCAAAGGGACACCACTTTCTATCTGTATGTTATTTGGCTTTTCTAAACACTATCTCAATAGACCCAACAAGGTAAGCAGGATAGATAGTATCCCCATCTTACAGGTGAAGAAATGGGGACTCTGAGGCTAAATGACTCTCTTGCCCAAGGCCACAAGTAGACAGTTAATTAGTAGCTCTATCAGGAAATGAGCAGTCATCTGACTCACAGGCCAGTGCAATTTCCAGGACCCTGTCAACTTCCTTACGCTTTAGGATGAGCGGCAGTAGAGCAGCGGTTCTCAACCTGTGGGTCGCAACCCCTTTGGCAGTCGCACGATCCTTTCACCGGGGTCGCCTAAGGCCATCCTGCATATCAGATATTTACATTACGATTCATAACAGTAGCAACATTACAGTTATGAAGTAGCAACGAAAATAATTTTATGGTTGGGTCACAACATGAGCAACTGTATTTAAAGGGCCAGAAGGTTGAGAACCCCTGCAATAGAGAGTAATGGTTAAGGGCCAGGTCTAACTCTGGCAGGGCCTTCATTCCAATCCCAGCTCCACCACTTACTTCACTGACATCTATATTCTGTGCCCAAGAAGAGTTCCAAAGCACCCTGAAAACACAAGCAAGACGCCTTGGCCTGTGTGGCTCAGTTGGATGGGCATTGGTTTGGTGCACCAGAAAGTTTGCTGGTTCGATTCCCAGTCAGGGCATATGCCCAGGGTATGAGCTCGGTCCCGGTAGGGGTTGTGCAGGAGGCAGTCAACCTTGATGTTTCTCTCTTCCTCTCTCTCTAAAAAATAATCAATAAACTATTTAAAAAACAAAACACAAGCAAGAGCACCAATTTCCAGGTTTCTAGTCAACTGCACACCAAAATCCTTACTCACCCTTATGCCTTTATGACACAAGAGCAAAAACTGCTCGGACCTTACTCAAAGGCTCCAAAATAGAAATGAGTTTCTCTTTTTATAATAATGAACAAGAGAGGAAGAGGGATGTTCTGGAAGGAAGATCCCCCTGGCTTACCCACAAAAAAGGAGACAGAAGCGTGGAAATACGAAGGTTCATCTCAAATAAACTACACAGGAAAAACTAATTACTTTATTTGAATAAAAGATCGCATTCTTAAAGCAGTGGTTTTCCATCCAGGTGGTACCCCCTCCCACCCCCCAAGTCCCTACAAAGATCATTTGGAAATTCCTGAGGGCATTTAGTGGGCAGGGCCAGGTATGCCCAATGTTTTGCAAAAGGACAGATGGCCCTATAAAGAGTTATTATCCAAAATGTTAATGGCAGCCCCCAACACATGCTTTAATAGTAATTCCTATGGTTCGGTGGCTCTTCCTACCCTGACCACAATTGGATGAAAAGAAAACTAAGATTTCACAGCTGAAGAATCTGAAATTTTGGAATCCAATTATAAGCTCACAACTCCAGCATGAAACCTGGTGGTGGAATAAGGAAAAAGAAATTTCTAGTAAAAGACAGACAAGAAATTTTAGTTAACAGGGAACTCCTTCGCCAGACAAGCCTCTGTAACAGCGGTTCTCAACCTGTAGGTCATGACCCCTTTGGGGGTCGAACGACCCTTTCACAAGGGTCGCCTAAGACCATCGGAAAACACATATATAATTACATACTTTTTTGTGATTAATCACTATGCTTTAATTATGTTCAATTTGTAACAATGAAATTGGGGGTCACCACATGAGGAACTGTATTAAAGGGTCGCGGCATTAGGAAGGTTGAGAACCACTGCTCTATAAGATTATATTTGTTTTATAATACACAAAATTCTGTGATTTTTGAGAAACTTCTTACAGTGCTTTTCAATTTAAAATCAGATACTAATGACAGTTCTTTAAAAAAACTTAACCACATTATCTCACAAACACAGATGACTCTTTCTGGACCAAATTTTATAACACAGATTGTTAATTTCAAAATTTTTAAAGCTGATCAAATGTCTAATAGTGCCAAAGGCATTGCCTGGCATCCCATTCAGGGCAGAGTTTGATGCAAGTCAGAGAAGCCTGTTCAAATAATAAAATCCCATCCTAGCAATTCAAAAGCCACTTTCAAGTGTTACCTGTCATCCATCAGTCACTATTCCTCCCCCTCAAATAAAATTATTTCACAAATTAAAGTTTACAGAATTGAAAAAAAAAAAATCCAGACTCTTTCAAAAAATAAAGGCCAATTAGTAAACAGCGGCCGCACACCTCTTTTGACTAATTTTCTAGAAGCCTAACCTGGCTTCTCAGGTTAGCGGAGCAGACAGACCTGGAGCAGACAGACCTGTTTTCCTCCCAGACGCTCCTGCCACTCACAGCCTGGGAAATCCTCCTCCAGCTTTTCGCTGGCCTGATACCAGAAGTTCACATCGTGAATTCATCCAGATTCTCTGGATCTTCCTCTTCCCCTGTCATGCACCCACAGCCTGGCAATAAAATCTCACCTCTCTGTTCCAAGAGGATGCAGATGATCTGGAAGACCAAGCACTTAGCATGGCATGGAGGGGAAGAAAGGAAAATGGGGAGGGCTGGGAGAGTCATTGAGCCAAGCCTACTGCATGCAGCACGGGAACCAGAGCCCTGGTCCTGCAAAGCCTGGGAGGGAGGGAGGCTCCCTGGCTGGGCCTCCATTCAGCAGGCCACACCTGTCTACGCCAACAGCCTGCTAGCTGCTCCATTTTAAACAATTCAAACAGACCTCCAGCCGGGGGGCAAAATTCAACACCCCTCTGTCCCAGCTAGAGAGTGAGCGCCCTAATCCAACCACCACTCGGCTCCAATTGTATTTCTCTTCACACTCTTTGTTTGGGAGAAGCCACTTGGTCAAACTGGACCTGTCTGTCTGGTAAGGGTGAGAGAGGCCCAACGCTGCAGTTACAGAAGGAAAGCCCCGGGGCTGACTTGCCGTAAGTCAGGCCAGACCTCTTCTCTGAGAACGGCGATGCCGGTAAGAGGGATTCCTATAGGCAGGTTTCATTCACTCTGCCCATCCACAAGTGGGTCAAGTCCTAAAACGCCCGGCTCCACGGCCTCAAAGAAAACCTCCCTCCTTTCTAAAGGTTCGGTATCCAATCGGCCCCTTGGCCTCGGGAACCCAGGGGACAGCAGACAGACTCTGGCCGTGCACTCTCCGTCCACACGTTCGCACGCGCGCCAAGGTTTGGGGCGCCCCAGCACGCCCTTCCTTGCACTCCACCCTCCGGGGGCCCCCTCCACCACCCGCGGACTCACCGCTGTGCGAGCTGAACCACCTGGGTGCGATGTGCAGAGGTAGAGCATCCGCCAGCGAGGCTCGGGAGCCTAGGTACAGCATCCCGTCTCTATGGTGACCGCCGCCGGTCTCCTGGTAACCATTGCCTTGGGCATAGGTGGATCCGTCGGATGCGGACCCTCCGCCGCTGGGCGCCCGCTCCGAGTCGCCGGTCCCACGAGAGGCGGGGGTGTAGAGGCCAAAGGGCACCCCTCCTGCCGTGCTGGGGTCCATGCCCATGCCCGCCACCGAGCTGACCGAGCGGCTGCGCAGCCCCATGGCCCCACCGCCCGCCCGGTAGTGCCCAAAGTGGGGCGCCCCTCCCGGCGGGGGCACGGCGCTGTCATCCGTGGAGACCCCCGGGAAGGGCCCCCGGGACCGGGCCGCCGTGCTCTGCTTGCCCCCCATGCTCGCCCGGGCCCCGATGGGGCGGGAACCTGGAGGCCGAGGCCCTCCCCCACTTCTCAGCGGCGGGGAGAGGGCTGGGCGAGCATAAAGGGGAAGGGAGTCAAAAAGGAGATCGGGAGGGGAAAAAAGAAAAAGAAAAAAGGAAACCCGCGGGGCGGGAGCGGCAGGCGGTCGGGGAGCCCAAACTAAGAATTTAAAACGATCCGATCCAAGCGCATGTTTCCCCTCAAGGTCCAAAGAGGCGCAGCCCGGCGCGGGCTCGGCGCGCCACAGGCCGCCCCCGGGCTCCCGGCAGCCGGGGGAGCCGCAGGGAAGGAGGAGGGAGGCGGCGGGCGGGCGCGGGGAGGCGCCGGAGGAGGCCGCCGACCGAACCGGAGGAGGCGGAGAGAAGGAGGGCTGGGGGCGCCGGCTGCGTCCCCCGCCTCAGGACGCCGCGACCATGGACGGCGGCCCGGACGCCTCCAGGCCTCGGGCGGGCTGCGGCGCCGGGCGGCCACGCGGAGCTCGGGAAGCCGCGGTCGCGTCGCGTCGCGTCGCGCTCTCGCTCCAGCTGCTGCCGGCCCCGCCAGCCGCGCCGCCTCGCCGGGTCCCGGGCTGCGCTCGCCGGCGCTCCTCGCCGCCGTGGAGACAATGGAGGGCGGCAGAGCGCAGGCGCGGCCCGCGCCCCCTCCCCCCGCCCCCCCCCGCCGGCTTAACCCCTTCGCGGCCCCTGCGGCGCCGGCCGCGGACGCCCCGGAGGCCCCCGCCCGGTCACCCAGCCGCCGCGGGCCTGGGGCCTGGGGGGCGTCAGGAACGGGAGCCGGGCGTCTTTTCGAGGACAGCACCTTCCTGCAGTCCCTGAAAGCGGCTCCTGATCCGGAAACCACCTGTGGGGGAGGGGCGGCGATGCGTCCCGGGTGGGAAGGCGGCACGAGGAAGACTCCAGACGACTCCCGACGCCTACCTGGCTCTCGGGGTCACTGGTCAAGCTCCCCTCCCGCCTCAGCTTTGCCCCCACAGCACCCTCTGGCGGGCGCTCTGTCCGTTCTTTTAGATAAGGTTCTGCATCCGAGGACCCCTAAGATCAGGAAGCTTAACGTTTGGGCGTTGGGGGGGTGGAGGGGGGGGCGGGTAGCTGTTTGGAGCACTGTCCGTATTTTGCTGACAGTAGATCAGAACTTACTTTGGGCTTAAGCAAAGGAGGAGATACCTTAGCTAAAATGTGATCTTGGAAGTCCTGAATTGTGTGATAAAATGTGAAAAGATATTAGACGTGGAAACGGAATAATGCAGCTAGAACTAGTGATTTTAGGAACTCCCTCGTCCAAGGAGTCTCTTGTTTTGTGTACCTGTTATCTTGGCACGCACCACAGGGCCTGGGACACAGTGGGTATTTAAATGGTATTTATTGACCAAGTCTGCATTTCGCAATATGCCCCTGTCACATCTTATTCATTCATTCATTCACTATTTTTTCAAGTACCCAGTGCTTTCAATTAGCACCACCTGGTTCTAACTGACTTCCAAATCAAGGAGCCAAAACAGTGTGGACAACAAAGGGACGCTGTGATACAGTGGTTCTCAACCTTGGCTGCACATTGGAATCACCTGGGAATCTTTTTCAAAGCGTCTCAGAGGATGAGGCCTAGAAATCAGGATTTTAAAAAGATTCCCAGGTGATTCTAATGTGCAGCCAAGGTTGAGAACCACTGCTGTGGTAAATCTAACCAGAGTCGCCTCACAGAGTGCTCTGACCATAAATTAGAATGGTCAGATTATGATGGGTAGTCATGATAGGTAATCATGTCCCAGGTATATAACTTCTTTCCCTTCAGCAAGTCCTGTCCATTGTTTCTGTGCCTGAGGTTAACATGCCTTTGAAATGCCTCTTTTTCAAACCCCTTGAAGGAAGGTATAACCACCCTCAAGGGAGCACGTAATCTTAACTATTCTGTACATTGCTTTCTCCCACCTTCATGTAATCTTCCTTATGTTTCCCCCTTAATCCCAAGTGTGTAAAAGAAACTGCAAAACTTTCACTCTTCGGTGCATTTGAGATCTTGCTTCCTGGTAATTGTCATCAGTCTGGTTAAAATAACCTCTTATACAAATTCTCTACAGGTTTGGATGTTTACTGAGTGTAGAGAAATATTAAAAGAAAACAAACAAACAAGAAGAAGCACTGGTCTGTCATAGGTATTGATTGTTCCGGTGTGACCAGCTTGAAAAGAAACAGGAGGGAGTCTGTTTTCAAGCATGGAGTGCTGGGGAGTGAGCAAAAAGCCCTGCAGAAGGAGGTCAACAGTTCTGTAGGAGAGCCCTGGCTGGTGTTGCTCAGTTGGTTGGAGTGTCATCCAGTGCACCGAAGGGTCTCAGGTTCGATTCCCAGTCAAGGCACATACCCAGGTTTGGGGTTCTTTGATCCCCGGCCTGGACGTATACCAGAGGCAACCAATCTCTCTCTCTCTCTCTCTCTCTCTCTCTCTCTCTCTCTCTCTCTTTCTCTCTCTCTCTATCTCTCATCAATTAAAAACAACAAATTATCTTCAGGTGAAGATTTAAAAAACACAACAGAGTTCTGTAGGAGAAATGAACGTAAAAAAAAAACAACCCACACACGAAATGTTCCAATACCCAAGAAATTATCTTTAAGTGCTTAAATGAGAAATTTGTGCACACCTAAGATCCTAATGAACGATTTGAAGAAAAACAAGGAAGCTTTTATCTCCCGAATAGAGAGCTGTCAGGGGATCTGGTATTCTTTTTTCTGCAGAGTACTGAACCACCCCTTTTCTGCTACCATAATCTTTCTTCAGGGAGGAAATTGGGTTAAATCTAAGCTTTTTCATTTTTCTTCAGATCACTCATTAGGATCTTAGGTGTGCACAAATTTATCATTTAGGCACTTAAAGATAATTTCTTGGGTATTGCAACATGTTGTTTTTCTACATTCCTACAATCAATAAGGGTAACAGGTTCAATTCCCGGCGAAGGGCACTTATCTCGTTTGTAGGTTCAATCCTGGCCCTGGTCGGGGTGCTTGTGGGAGGCAACCAATCAATGTCTCTCTCTCTCTCTCTCTCTCTCTCTCTCTTTCTCTCTCTCTCTCTCTCTCTCTTCTCTCCCCCTCACTCCCTCCCACTCTCTCTAAAAAATCAAGGGAGCCCTAGCTGGTTTGGCTCAGTGGACAGAGAATTGGCCTGCAGACTGAAGGATCCCTGGTTCGATTCTGGTCAAGGGCAGCCAAACAATGGTTCTCTCATCATTGATGTTTCTATCTCTCTCTCCCTTCCTCTCTGATATATTTTTAAAAAATCAATGGGAAAAATATCTCCCAGTAAAGGATTAACACACACACACACACACACACACACACACACAAATACTGTAACCATCTAACTAGCTTCTGATTTACCTATTCATTCAACACTTTTTAGTGTATAGGACAAAATATGAATATCTAATAAGTGCCAGGCACTGCACTAAGTTCTGGGATACAGTGGTGATCCAGACAGATGGAGGAGTCCTTGTTCTCATAGAGCTTCAGAAGAACCTCTTCACACCCACTAGGATGGTTAAATTGAAGAGGACAGTCAAAATAAAGAAAAAAAAATAAAGAGAACAATAACAAGTATTGGTGAGATGTACAGAACTCAGAACCCTCATACCTTGCTGTTGGAATGCAAAATGGTACACCTGCTATGGAAAACAGCCTGGCAGTTCATCAAAAAAGATTAAACATAAAGTTATCATATGACCCAGCAATACCATTCCTAGGTATAGTTCCAGACAAAATGAAAACATACGTCCACAGAAAAACTTGTACATGAGTGTTCATAGCAGCATTATTCAAAATAACTAAAAAGTGAAAACCAACCCAAATGATCATCAGCTGATGAATAAATAGATATGGCATATCTAGAGAATGGACTATAGATAAAAAGAAAAAAAAGGCATAAAAAGAAATAAAAGGCTGATACAAGCTATAACATGGATGAACCTTGAAAACATTATACTAAGTAAGAGAAGCCAATCATAAAAGACCTCATATTGTATGATTTATGAAATGTCCAGAATAAGAAAAGCCATTGAGATAGAAAGGTTAATGGTTGTCAGGGCCTGGGGGGAGGGGAAAATGGAGAATGACTGCTAATGGTTTTCTTTTTAGAATAGTGAAAAGGTTCTGAAATTAAATAATAGTGATGGTTGCCAAACCTTGTGAATATACTAAAATCCACTGAATTATACACTTGAAAGGGTGAATTTTATGGTATGTGAATTACAGTGCCATACACACAAACACATATCCGTACATGGAGCATTGAAGCAGGCAGTGACAATACAGTGTGGTAGATCAGCCTACAAGAGGGCCTAGCATGTAGTTGGCACTCAGTAAGCATTTGTCAAATGAATGAATGAATGACTAAATACTATGAGAGTGAAAGTACTATGAGAGTGAAAGAGCATGGTGCTGCTGGAAGAAGACAGGCACAAACACAGTGATTCTAAGCCAAAACCTTGTTAAAAAGCATAATTTAACCAAGTGAATGTGAACATCTGATCGGCTTTATTAAGTGATTCATGAATCGGGCAGCATCCCACCTAGCAACTAAAAGAGCTTTCCCATGTGTTGTACAAAATGGAAGGTTTTGTGGTTTTTTTTTTTTATAGGCAGAAAGAGGGTGGGACTAAGAAGTTAAAAATGAGGGTGGGAATTAAGAAATTCAAAGAATGGGTTATTTTAGGCAAAGACACCTTCCCTTAGGAAAAGGCAGATTACCTCACTAGTACTGGTCAGGAAATTCCAGACTGACTGATTAAGATTATGCTCTGGGAGAGGTTGAAACTGCAGTTAGAATCAGGTGTTAAATCTAGGTTTGGTGTTATGGGCTTTCAGCAGGAGGAATACCACTTGGGGCCTGTGGTTTTCTGTTTAACCTCCTAAAAGGTGAGTTGATTAGCCAGAGAATGAGGTGGAAGGGGAGAACTGTGTTTCAGGGAGAGAAGACTGCTCCAAGTCAAGGAAAAAGCATGTTTGAAGGCTTACAGCACCTGGCATCTTCAAGGAACTGAAGGATGCAGTAGAGCTGCAATGAAAGGAGATGGGAGCCAAAGGTGAAGCTAGTCCTCAGGGCAGACCACAGAGTCCTGGACCATATCCTGAGGGGATGGGGAACTCTGAAAGATTTATCACCTATAGTTAAAAATAACAATGACCAGCCCTGGCTGTTGTAGCTCAGTTGGTTGGGCATTGTCCTGTGCACTGAAGGGATCCTTACAGGAGGCAGCCTATCAATCTCTATCTCTTTCTCTCTCTCTCTTCCTCCCTCCCTCTCGCTCTCCTTCTCCCACTCTCTCAAAATCAATTTAAAAAATAGCCCTAGCCCTAACTGGTTTGGCTCAGTGGATAGAGCGTCAGCCTGCGGACTCAAGGGTCCCAGGTTCGATTCCGGTCAAGGGCATGTACCTTGGTTGCGGGCACATCCCCAGTGGGGAGTGTGCAGAAGGCAGCTGATCAATGTTTCTCTCTCATCGATGTTGCTAACTCTCTATCCCTCTCCCTTCCTCTCTGTAAAAAATCAATAAAATATATTTTAAAAAATTAAGAAACTTCCCTCCTCCCCAAATAAAGGTCTATATTTTATTAGCTTACATATTCATAA